ATTGTTTCAATACAAAATGTCCAGTTTGCATGAAGCAGCTTATGTTTAAATAAAGGCCTCAGGGGTGAAACCTTCAAAGGCCATGAGATTCTCTGAGCTCAGAGCAGGAGCTGAGAGATGTGAAGACAGGCCAAGAGCTTTTGAAGTTCTGTAAAATGAGAAGCTTCCTTTGCTTGGTTTTTCATTGCTAAGGTCCTCGGTGCCCTGGGAGGGTTTTGTGCAAAGCCTCCCTCCGCGGAGCTGACATTTCTATGTCTGATCGATCTGCAGGCTCCAGGAATCTGGCTGTAAACAAACATCCCCCTCATCTCCAAGTCGTCCAAGCTAAATTCCAGCAGCGACTTGAGAAGAGCCCCAGCGCCTCCCCCTCCCCCCCCCCCATTTCATTCCTTTCCACCTGAAAAGGTGACAGGAAGGGTCTTTTGCTTCAAATAATGATACAAATTCTCCCAGGAGGACTTCAAAAGCCCCAGCCCTTCAGCAAGGGCAACCTTTGTTCAAACTTCACTTCTTTTTTTTCTTTCTCTTTTTTGCTTTTTTGGGGCGCATCCGGCGATGCTCAGGGGTCACTCCTGACTCATGCACTCAGGAATTACTCCTGGTGGTGCTTGGGGGACCATAAGGGATGCTGGGAATTGAACCTGGGTCGGCAGGTGCAAGGCAAATGCCTTACCCGCTGTACTATCACTCCGCCCCGCAAACTCCACTTCTTTCACCGCTCATGGAAAGAGGGCATGGGCTACATTTTGAGGATGTACTCAGGGGACACACCCGCATTCCTTCGTGGCCACCGGCCTCTCTCCCCAGGCCCCAGCCTCGCCAACACCGCCCCAGCGCAGCGCTGATAGCTGGCGCCCCCTCCCGGGCAGGAAGGGTGCAGCGCCTGGTACCAGGACCCCGCAGGGCAGACGCTGCGGGGATGGGTGGGGGGTGGGCTGGGGTTGGGGTTAAGCTTGGGAGCTGTTCTCTTTCAGAAAAGCGGCCCCTTGATCATCATTCAAGCTTTTTTTCTCTGGATGAATCTGACTCAGGGACATGAATGCCAGTTCCCCGGGGGCACTGGGGTGCAATATTCTGTCTGCTCGCGCTAAAATAAAACTACAGGGTGCACAGTTTGGCTCTGAGGCACTCACACCAATTCCGTTGCCAACACCGACTGCATCATTTGCCAGGTGCCAGCACCATGGATAGCCCCAAGGATTTGCCGTAGCTGGGCAACAACTGGCTGCTCTGCTCTGACCTCATAATATATGGATGGAGGGGGTGTTAAATGAGCAATTGCAATCAGGCGTGGTAAGTGTCGTGGGAAGGTAGAAATTTTCGGTATGACTCTACAAGGAAATCATGTAAAAAATTAATCTAAATCTCCAGAGAGAAAACTCAGGCGTCACAGTGCCACAAACCTCAAAGGCAACTCAAGTAGGAGCTAGGGCAAGGTTTTCAGATCTCAGAAAAGAGCATCTACATCACACACAGTCTTCCTCAGTTCAAATTGCTGTGCTCCAATGTCAGAATTTCTGATTGCCAGATAGGGTGTGGGAGAGACTGAGAATTTGCTGGGATGATCACAATTACTTCAGGGAGTTGAATGGGGTGTGGTTGCTGTAATGGTGTGTGTGTGTGTGTGTGTGTGTGTGTGTGTGTGTGTGTGTTGTGATGTTAAGTCCACTGCAGAGACTGTGGGCTTGGAGGGGTGTAGGAGAAGATGCAAAGTTAGAGTCCGTGACAATAGACAAAGAGCTGGGAGGAAATGTCTCACAGAGAAGAGCCAAGCAAGACTCTGTAGATTGGGTGGGGATGAGGGATGGGTGCTCAGTGCAACTGAATACAGCTGTGTTCATGGGGGTGAGCAGATCCCTCAGAAGAGTTTGACTTTTACGAAGTTCTATAGATCAAAAATCCTAAAATCAAGGTGTGTGTGTGTGTTCTTGCTTTCTTCAGTTCCCAGAGATTGTTCACGTTTTCTAGCTACGTCTCCTCCCTCTCATTTCTCCCACTGCTGCTTCCTCTATCACATTCCTTCTCTCTTCTGTCTCTTTTTAGAGCTCTTGAGATGATGCTGGATCATCACCTATCATATTTGTTGTTTTTGTGTTTGGGGTCACACCCTGCATTGTCCAGGGTATACTTCTGACTCTGGGTTCACCCCTGGTGACATTACTCAGTTGCTCAGGGACTCCACGAGATGCACTAAACCCAGTTCAACTATGTGCAAGGCAAACATTCTGCTGTTGTGATATCTCTCAGGCACCTATCACAAAAATTATAGCATCATCTGCAAAGTCCTTTTTATCATGTAAAGTGACATACTCACAGACTGGAAGAAGGCTTAAGAGATATTTTAAGGCTCTCCTCATGTTAAGTTTATAATGGTATCTTATCAATAAATGTGCACTACAATATGTGTAGCTGCTTTTTATTTACACATTATTTTTGTTATTGTGCATTAAAGTTTGCGTATGCATCATTATAAATCCCCCTTGATATACATAATGTTAAGCTTCTGGCATCAATTTATTGAGGGTGGGTTGAAGGGGGGCAAAAGTGGAGAAAGTCAACTAAAGAAGCAATTGTAGTTTGCAAGTAAAAGATGTGATAGTTTACATATGGAAGATGGCTATAAAGTAAAAGGCCCTCCCGTTGATCGTCGATTTGCTCGAGCGGGCCCAGTAACGTCTCCATTGGAGACTTTGTTGTTACTGTGTCTGGCATATCGAATACTCTCGGTAGCTTGCCGGGCTCTCCGAGAGGGGCGGAGGAATCGAACTCGGGTCGGCCATGTGGGCTGCGTGCAAGGCAGACGCCCTACCCGAAATGGCAGATTCCAGAGATATATGAGGCAGAGTCAACAGAATTTGGAGATTTGTTATAAGTGGACATGGGAGGAGGGAGGAGGGGAGGAAAAAGGTTGACTGCCAGGCTTGGTAACTGGTGCTAGTCATACCTTTTCCTTGAGCATTAGAGTGGAAATAGTGCTTTTGGATTATGACTTGGACTGCAGCTTGAACTGTGGATAAATCCGTGGGTTGTCTGCATAGATAATGATTAGTGAAGTCAGAAGACTATCTGAATAGCTTGAGAAAAGGCAGAGAGAGTGATACATTCAAAGAGGAATGGGTCTAGATCCTGAAGACATCGTGATGGCTGAGAGCTGTCATATTCAAGAGGGGCTTACCGTTCTTCACGCACAGAGCTCAGAAGTGAGACTGACTCAAATGAATGTTAAGCAAGAAGTTCTGACATGTCTCTATGTGTGTGTCCTGAGACTGCTTCTTGCTATGTCTGGGAGAGGTGCCCTTCAGTCTTCTTTCCTTCACATGTGGCTAGAATAGAACAGGAGCACCGCAGCTTATGAGGACAGGGAGAGTGTGATGCTTTGGTGGGGTTAAATTTAGGATTCTCAATCACAGACATCTAAAAATATTGACTACAAGTCTGTCTTGACTTCAAGGAAAACAACCTAGTCTCAAGGTAGTGTTAGGGTCAGTGATGTACGCTGCTGCCACCTTGAGGTCAAGCGTGAGAACGCAACACCTTTCCCTTCCGTTTATGAATCCAAGTGAGGACGGAGGTGCACGCCGTTGCCACCTGGAGGACAACCGTGAGAATGCATCACGTTTGCCTTATATTTATGAATCAAACCTCCCTTCAAAATTTCTTTTCCTTTAGGGATGGGTATATGATCGTGGTATGACCGAGATCCAAGCACAAAAATTTGTAAATATACAACTGTACCTCATGGTGTTTCACTAATAAAAAAAATAAAATAATTTTATCATAACCTAAAAAAAAATTTCTTTTCCTTTATTCCTTTATCTCCCTCCCTTCCTCCCTCCCTCCCTCCCTCCCTCCCTCCCTCCCTCCCTCTCCCTCTCCCTCTCCCTCTCTCCGTCTTCCTCTCTCTCTCTCTTCACTTTCTTTTTTGTGGGGGTGGTGGGTGGGTAAACAATTTTTTTCCTAAATTCACAAATTACTTTACAGTGCCCTCCGAACATTTTCTTCTTCCAAATTCCTCAGTGAGTGTATTTGTGGGGGCGAGGTGAGGGGAATATTTATCACTGGTTTTATCAGCTATAAATAGACTAAAAGTCAAAACTAAGTAGAGGCTGATGAGGAACAAAGCAGGGAACCTTCAGAAGTGAAGCTGAACCACCCACGTTTGCTTCCGTTTTAAATGACCTGTCCGTGTGAAATGTTAGAATATGCTGTAATAATTTTAAAGCATCTCTTTTTTTTGCAGGATTAACACTATCCTTCAAATCAAACTCAGCATGGCTAACTTTCAAGCCATCGTGTTAATCCACTCTATCAAATTATATAGTACTAGCTAATAAGCCATGACACATTCTCTAATAACGTGTCATCTTATTCATGCTTTAAAAGAAGCAATGACTAGGGTTCATTAGATAAAATCAAAATCCTTCCATTTTTAAAACTGTTTGCTTTTTCACACTGGGAAGAACCTGATCATTATTCGGCTTCTGTAAAAGCCGAAACTAAAGGCTGACTTCTTTATATTCACCCCACCATCACCACCACCAAGTTTTAACCGAACTTGATAAATCTTTCCTTTCAGCTAGGATCCTGTATAAGCAACACTTTCTTATCAGAAGAGCAATAACAATTGAAGAAGATTTGTTGCCAGTACCAGATTTTACTGGTCTGGAGCAATAGCACGGCAGGTAGGGTATTTGCCATGCACGGGGCTGACCTGGGTTTGATTCCTCCTCCCCTCTAGGAGAGCCCAGCATGCTACTGAGAGTATCCCACCGCACAATAGAGCCTGGCAAGCTCCCCGTGGCGTATTTGATATGCCAAAAACAGTAATAACAAGTCTTACAATGGAGACGTGACTGGAGCCCGCATGAGCAAATAGATGAATAACAGGAGGGCAGTGCTACCAGATTTTACTAGCAGTGTCATGAAGATCTACACAAGGAAGAATTTGAGTATTGTCAAAGAATCCAGGAGGGGAAGAAAGAAGAGAGACCTTCTCTTACCGTTGTCATTGCCTTGCTTGATCTCCTCCGCGGTCCGATCTATCAAGACATACAGGGACCAAACCACACAGGTGATGGCGATGACGTGGAATGTGACAGAGCAGAATATTTTCCTCCTCTCGCTGGTGGTCATCTGGAGTTTCTCCCACTGCAATAGAAACAAAGAACATAATACTGAATTTTGGAATAGGAGAGTTCCCATTCTTTCTCTTTCAGACCCCAGCGATGCACAATGAGTAGAAGAATGGCATTATGAAGCTGTGATTTCAAATGACGCTCTATGAACGTCCTCATGTTGGGTACACAGGAAACCTTGACTTGAAGTTACATATAACTTACCTGGACATTAAGATCAAAACAAAAGCAATTTCTTACTCTCCAAACGAATTCAATCAAGTCTTTTGTTTTGCCCGCCTACACATTCCTTGTCTATATCAAGACTAGGATAGTTGAAATATTACCAACTATTTAGAATGGATTCCTTTCAGGTTTCTGCATAGCTTTTCTTCCTGGCTTATAGTCTGGAATAAGTAGTCTCAGATTGATTCATGGTTAGCTGTGCATTTCTTGATGTATACATTTAATATGTACTTGAATGCCTGATTATCTGCCAGAGAGAGTCACCATTTTGTCACAGATTTTATGAGAAACACACATTTTTTTCATCTGGACGTAGGATTCGGGAGACCTTTTTAAGCAATTCTGATTTGCTACTGCCGCGAGGGAAGTGACTTGAGCCACATCCCTAAGTTACTCCTTAGAAGGTGGAGGTGGAGGGTGGGCACTGGTGGAGGGATGGGTACTTAATCATTGTATAATTGAAACCCAAGCACAAAAATTTGTAAGTCTACAACTGTACCTCATGGGGTTTCATTAATAAAAATTAAAAAATAAAAATAATTTAAATTAGAAAAAAAGAATGTTGAAAATGCCTCAGTCAGTCTGGGAGAGAAGGACCAACTGTATATAATGATAGATTGCAGTTCATAAGAGTGAATGTATCCATGATTTTTTTAGAAGAAATTTAGACACTCAAGAGGAATTATAATTCCTTGACTATTAAGTAAGTAAGTAAGTAAAGGCCCTCCCGTTGATCGTCGATTTGCTCGAGCGGTCCCAGTAATGTCTCCATTGGAGACTTTGTTGTTACTGTGTCTGGCATATCCAATACTCTTGGTAGCTTGCCGGGCTCTCCGAGAGGGGCGGAGGAATCAAACTTGGGTCGGCCATGTTGGCTGCATGCAAGGCAAACGCCCTACCCGCTGTGCTATCGCGCCAACCTTGACTATTAGTTTCATTTAATTTCTGCATGAGGAATTGTGTCTTTATTTCTTCCTATATTATTTCCATCAGAAAATCAAACCACTGTGGTCACATCAGATGTAACTTCATATTTCTACAACCCAAATTTACTATGATTCATGGTTCTTTGCAGAGAATGGTCGTGGGTCTTACCAGGCTGTGCCTAGGAAATCATATGTGATGCGAGGGATCAAATTGGAGTTGCCTGTGTACAAAGCATCTTACCTCTCTAAGTAAGAGTACTACCTTTCTGAGCCCTAATATAATCTCTTTGTAATCTCTGCATTCTTTTCTTTTACTGAAACTTTTCTTTTACTGAAACTCGCCGGGACCCCTTGGAGGGTAGTGGGTTGAGCTTTCCTCCCCACCCCGACCAGGGCTCCGGCAGCCAAAGACCTCCAGGATCAGCCACCACCATGCTGAGACCACTCTCCGCACACATGAAGGTACTGGCAGAGGGACAAAGTCACGCGGGTTCCGGGGCCGAGATCTCTAAGCCTACTCGGATTGACATCTTATTATGATATCTTATTATCTCATTCCTACTTTGGACAAACTGGCAGGTTACCGAATGTAGCCTGCCCACATGGCAGAGTCTGGCAAACTCCCCGTGGTGTACCCAATATGCCAAATACCAGTAACAGTTATGGGTCTCATTCTCCTAAAGAGCCTTGAATATAATCTCAGGGCTAGGATGAAGGAGACTTTACTGGGGCCTGCTCGAGGCAATCGACGAATAACAGGATGATTTGTGATTTGTGACTGAAACAAAATCTTTAGAATTTCAGAGGAACTTTCTTTTTCAATGCCACTCTCACCAAAACACACACACACACACACACACACACACACACACACACACATTTAATTTTCATGTGTATTTGAAACAAGAGGGCAAACTTTATTTAAATGAAGTCCTGGCTTTGCCGCAAGACTTTGGAAATGGGTGAAGCCACTTAATCTTTCTGGGTCCAACTCTCATCTCTTCATAGAAGCAGATCGTGGTAGAGGTGATGACCAAGAGGTTTAGAAAAGGGATATGACTTGTCTACTGAGAGACAACTTTCATTATGATTGGCTCTGCTAAAACAGTTTTTCCACCTTCCTTGGCAGAGGTTGACATTGATAGTTTTCTATCAATAAGATGTGAGCTGTTTTCACCAAAAGATTTGAGTTTTTGCCACCACGGTACCATATTTCTATTTTTTCCTCACCTTCATGTTCTATGCTTTGGAATTCATAATTAGCTATAACAGTAGTCATCTTGCAACCTCATGAACTGGAGAGAACTCTATCAGGATGGTTTCAGCTCACCTTTTGGTGCTCTTTTCTATCAGAGAAAAATAAAGCCCGGTCTAGTGAAGCCAGGATTTCTCAAGACTTTGCTACTAGGTGTGTAATTCCTGAATCAATGAAAATATTCTCATTTCTCTTTCAGTCTGACAATTAAGATTCTACAATACCTTTGTGAAGGCAAGTGCCTTGGTCCCTGTTTTCTGCCTTGACAGTGTTTTTGCCGAACGAAAAGTGAATCGAGAAGTTGATAGTGTGACTTGGTTTTTGTGAAAAACTTCACATCATATCTGTTATTTAAAATCTTTTTTGGGCTAGTGAGCGATTGTAATGTTAATCTGACTAACCTGAAAAATGATAGAATATTTTAATTTGGCAGTAGCATAGCATTTCATGATTACTACAGATTTCTTGAATCGCCACTATGTCACTATGACCGAAGAAGTACAAGACGTATCAAAAGAATCTTTTATTCACATTTCCTAAATGTTCCAAGTGGATGTGAATGTGCTTACCAAATCAACCCTCAATTACAAAATCTACTTAAAAAGTGTCTTAAAGTTGGAACTTCTTAAATCCAAGAAGCATTTTTTTAAATATCTAAAACTCATTTTTAACATTAATGAGCCTCAAAAAAAATATCAGTGGGTTATTAGGAACACGCCAAATCACTTGTACAGTTTCAACTGTACAATAGAAGCTCTGAAGTTGTCGTCTCCTAATTTCCGCAGCATTTTAAGAGAAATGTGAAGTGCAAAGAGATCATCAAATGTTCCCATTTTTCTTTCATCCTCACAAGTGTGATTCAGAAATTCATTAGGCTGCACCTAGTAAATGTAATAGCACAGCGCCCTCTTCTGACGATTCCGTTTCTGCATGACGTATTCAGGCCAACGCTCTGGAAGAAATCATGGCATTTTTTGAAATTGACTATTCCTAGCTGCCTGTTTCCAGGCCTACTTACAAGAGTGCATAGCAGGGGTCATGAGTGTGTGAGTTTTCACAGTAGGGATGGATTGAGAAAGGACAGTAGTCTAATTTAGCAAAACTTTCATGAAACGGATTTGAAGTTTATGATGCCGAAGTGCCACAACAGTTCACAAAAGGGTTAATGAAACGGAGACTGGGGGGATAGAGGAGGGGCTAAGGCACCTGAGATCAGTTCCCCAGCAGTGCCGGGAGTGATCCCTGAGCACTGTTGTGTCTGGCCTAAAATCTGCCAATATTGTGTGTGTGAGCGGGGGATACTCCCCAGATATGTACATAGTCATATTAAAATGGGCAGTTTCACACGGTGTGTGTGTGTGTGTGTGTGTGTGTGTGTGTGTGTGTGTGTGTGATGCCCATGGTTCCACAAGGTGCAGCTTTTAGAAGAAGCCATCAGGGAGAAGAGAGCGACCGCCGGGTGCTTGCGCTGGAGGTGAGAGCATCACTTTGTCAGAGACACAAGTTCTCACTTTACTTGTGTTTGGGGCTCACACCCAGTGGTCTTCTGGGCTTACTCCTTGCCCTGCTCTCAGGGGTCAGTCATGGCAGTGCTCAGGGATGCTCTGTGGTACTGGGGGCCAGAGCCGGGTCAACAACATGTCAGGGGAGCACTCTGTCCGCTGTGCCATCTCTTGGGCCACCACACTCTACTTTTGAGATAACTTGATGCTGGTTTTACCCACACAAACACAGAAACAACAGGCCCTTACCCAGCACCATTGATGGGCAGGTCTCTGAGAAGGGAGCCAACTCATTTGTGTTGCAGGCTGGTGTCACAGGGTACCACCTTCCCGTTTCCTTCAGATCCCAGTCAAATATTGTGGGAAATTGTTCCCCTCACAGGAACGCCAAGGTTAGAATAGTCCTCTCGGTAAAAGAACTTAGGCCTTTTATAATATGATGGGGTAAGCAAAAATGCACCCAGGAAAGAATAGTAAAAGTCAGTTTAGGCGCTCTTTAAATGTGGAGAGCAACATAGGCAAAAATAAATGAGGATTTTGTCACAACTTTATACTTTTTTTTAATTTTTGGGTTACACCCGGCGAAGCACAGGGGTTCCTCCTGATTCTGCACTCAGAAAATACTCCTGGTAGTGCTTAGGGGGCCATATGGGATGCTGGGAATCGAACCCGGGTCGGCTGCATGCAAGGTAAACGCCCTACCTGCTGTGTTGTCGCTCTAGCCCACACCTTTATATTTTCAGGGGTGCCGGCTAATTGGCTGTGTGAAGTGTCCCAGTCTCTAAAGACACAGGTTGAATTTGGACAGGCTTATGAACTGCCCTTCATATCTCTACTGTCAACTTGAACAATGACACCCACACTGGGAGCCAGTGATATTGCAATGAATAGATGGCCAAGGCCTGTGAGCAAACTCGGGCTGTCCAGGTGACCCTGGAGCTCAGACAGTCCTGTGAGTCTCCCTGTCTCCTCTCTGCAGCTGCCCTCCACTGGATGACGGTCTTTCGGCAGAGCATCTGGTCTCAGAGTCTCCGGGTTGAAAATGTTCAACTCAAGGGGTTCTGGAGTTCTCACGACTTTCCTGTCCCCAAGGACAATGATGAGC